ATATTTACGCAAATTGCTTGATTGATTGACTGATTGAAGATGTAAATGTCAGATAAAACTTAATAAAGGGTATTTAAACAACCTTAATTTACAAATATTTTCATACATAAATATTTATTAACAAAATACATGATTTAATCCATTGTTTAGCCTCGATAATAAAACTAGAATAATATTTCTATATGGGGCTCAAAAAGTCAAGCATTTAACTGCAATTTGTCCAGCCTCCTGCCCCCCGCCCCCCACTCGGCACGCCCTACTTTAACCGCGTGTCCATTTAACATAATTGTGCAATTATTTAAAAACTGATTTATTTTTTAATTGTTTGTCACTTAAATGACAACAATTAATTATGCAATGCAAAGTCGAAAAAAAAACGCATATAATAAATAAAAGAACATTTCGCAATTATATAAATATCTCGCATTATATAATCAGCGCAACAGCTGGCAAAAAAAAGTATATACATATATATGTATATACATAAGTGATATAAATAGGGAACTCTGCCGCAGTTTTAATCATAATTATTATAATAATAATAATCATAATAAGCGCTCAACAAATGGAACAAACAAATGGGAAATGCTTAACACAGCGATTAAAATTTATTGCGCTTATTTTGCATTTATTCGAATTGAATTCGTTTTCCTTGCTGGGTTTTTGTATACCCTATCTATGAGTGGGGTAGGGCAGGTATGGATGTCTACACAGTTTAGAGTAGTATAGATATATTATTGATTAGGAGCAGAGAACGACGACTGAAGCTAAACCTGAGAGTGCGACTGCCTCTATCTCTTTCTCTCTCGCTCTATGACTGTCTACCTGCTTTCCTCTCCCTCTCCGCATCAATTTGGAAAAGTATTTCATATTAGAAAACGAATGTTTACTTTGGGTAATCGATCATTTTGAGCCTTCAACTAAAATCGATAAAAATCGATAAAAAATTTCGAGCACTTTCTAAGAGTTAAGTTACTGAATCTCTCATCTATCTATAATTCCTTAAGTATACTCAAGCATCTGCCACTAACTACCACTCCCTCCGTATGCCCTCCACACTCCATTAAACTTATCATCAGTAACATTACAGGATATCTCCCAGTTCATCCACTTACAACAATCTCACGCTTACTCCCACATTTTTATCATTTCGCCATTTTATGTCAAAACTATTAAAAAGTTGTTTGCGGATTCATAATTGAAGTGTCGATTAATTAAGTAAATCCGACCCGAACTACCGCAAAACACCCGATTGGCGCCTGCCTCAGTCTTCAATGCCTCAATATCGCCATCAATAAACATTTTCATTTTAATCAATTATTTAACTAGCTTAAGCGTTGCCATATAGTATATATAACTTCGATATTTATCGATTGTTAGACTTGCTGCAAGTTATTGAGTGAGTTTGATATGAAAATGTTTTTGAACACTATCTACATACGATTTAAAGTCTTGATATATCTAAACATTTAACGATTTATTAAAATTCCATGGTTTATATCGAGTATTTTCTTTAAATTTATCGATTTCCTTATATTAACCTTATATTTTGAATGCATTTGTTCAATTGGTGAATTTGCTAGCTAATATGTAAAGCGAAAATTCTCTAACTATCTATATTTATCGATATTTATTTATCGTCAAGTCTGTAATTTATTTCTATGAATCCGTGAGCGGGATTATAGATATCGTTTTTAAGAATTTTTAGCACATTCGTGAATTTTAGGCATCGCATATTCCTGTAACGTCAGCTAAATGTCGATATTTATCGATTATTGCTAAGAATTAGTGTATTTTAATCAAAATCCAACACAACAAAATATATAACAATAATAACAATGGAGTCGTATATGAAATACAAGCAGCTCTTTATCATTGACTTCTCAGCTTATCTTTTTTGATTGAGAGATTGAAAATCTATATACCGTATGTATAGTTTAATCTGGCTTCCGTTGCCTCTTTTAACCATATATGCTATATACTTTTGGGCAAAAATCAATGATTTCGCCTGCTCGTATCCCCGTTTTCCATTCTCTTTGACCTGTATTAACGTAAAGGTTCTCAATAGTTTCTACCATAAAACATAATTTTAATTATGTAATCTCCCCTCTCTCTGCCGCTCATCCTCCCCTCCCTTTCTCTCTGCCCGATTTCAATCAGCTTAATAAAATGGAATATTCTGTTAGCATTTTTAATATTTCGGCTTTAATGCCATTAAAAAGTTCCATTCAAAATATTGCGGGCTTTCAATTCATTTTTTCCTTTTTTTTAATTTTTTTTTTAAGTTTTTAATATGAATATATGAAGAATATTTACAAAAATATGTATGTATATGTATATATAATAACATATGGGTAATTAAACGGGCAGCGCTTTTGTTATCAGACAGAAGAAAAAAAATTAAAAAAAAAAAAAAAAAAAAAAAAAAATGTAAAGCTAAAAATGTATTTTTGGTCAGTTGCCTCGATTGTGTTTGGGTTTGGTGCGTGTTTGGCTTATAAGAAAAGTGCCGTTAAGTAAGGTGGCTGTTGACAACGCGTTATGCATAAATTATGACACATTATACCCTATAAAAGTTTATAAATATCGAACACATAAATGGGCAAAGGGGCTTTTGGTGGAATTTATTAGAAGGTCAGGTGCATTAGCTTGAAAAGGAGGAGGCAATAAAAAATATGTAAGACAATGCTTGAATAAGACCTGAAAAACACAGGAAAGGGAAGTTTGATTTCCCAATAGAAGTGAAAATCAAGTGAGGAAACAGAAAAGTCTTTTTAATATAATATATGTAAAGTCTAGTATTTAAGTTCTTCTAGTTCTTCAAGTCTAGTATTTAAGTTCTTCAATCAGTCAGTCAATCAATCAAACCGCAAGTTTTCTTTAGGCTTTACAGCTTGTTCTAGCTAATTTATCTACTAAGCCAGAAACTTGCTTACAAATGACTCTTAAGTGTGCTTGATTAGGTATTAGCATTTGCAGGGTATTCATCGGGTCTCTGAATCACATATTTGATTGATTTGCATTTCGATAGAGCGCAATTAATGAGGCTCCCCCCTGCTCCCCGAGCAGCTCAAGCAAGAATGCTGCTGGCTATGGCAAATGTTATCCAACACATGCTGATGATAGCTGGTAAACCAGTTTCAAGAAAGAGAGGGGAAGAGAGGGCGAGAGAGAGAGAGGGGTGCAGGGTATTTGTCTAATAGAAAACAGCTTTATTAGTAATTTTGCTGGATTTGCATATGAATTTGATTTGTCGACACATTTTGCCTATCGATGCGCTAATTAAACAAAAAGCAGAGTTCATAAAGATGGGGAGGAAGAAGAAGAAGGAGGAGGAGAAGGAGAAGAAGAAGCAGTGTTTTCTTTAATTATTTAATCAGTGAAATAGAGCTTAGACACGCGCCTACCCGCTCTGCTCCTTGTAGTCACTATAAGGCTGTCCCTACCCCTCCCTTGCCCCTTCCTCCTCTGAGACAACTGTAAAATTGACAGCTCAGCGAATCGGAATGCGCATAAATTTCGTACGCTTTTTAACACTGGTCAGAAGGCTGCGCCTTTGCCTGAGCCTCGGGGCATTTGTAACGAGCATTTTCATGTTATTATTATAATTTTCGTCTTCTTTTTTTTTTGTATTTTAATGAGGCGCCATTTAAAAAAATTACTCATCACTGTCGTCACGAAAAAATATCGATTCCCATTCTGTGGCTTTTTTTTTAATCAATTGTAATTTACTTTGCTGCCGGCGCTGCTGCCGGCGCTGCTGCTGCTGCTGCTAATGAGGCGCATTAAATTGTAGCTGTAAATAAACGCCACGAAAAAATAGCAAAACGAGCAACAACAACAAAAATAAACAGTGTGGGCGGGTCGTTTGGTGTTGCTTGGCTGGCTTCGGGGCACACTTTGTGACCAGACCTAATCTAATTAGCTAAGCCGCAGTAGCAGCAGCTAATGCTTAAATATCCATATATAACTTAATTAGCTTTACTTTTCAAAACGCATCAAATGGCAAAACAAATTGTAACGTATTCAAATATCTATCGATAGGCGTTGGGCTGATCGTTATTTGGTAACGACAGCTAGATGGCGCTAGCAATTGCAAGCGTAGAGCAACACTGGCAGCTTGTCGTCGCTGTCTGACACAATGGTACACTGCTAGCTGCACTGCTCTAACGCACAAGTGAGCTGCCGCTCGGCCCTGCGCAAGTTCATTCTGCCAAGTTGACTCACACTGCGCGTACGACTTGACCAGCTGTACGGTCGCGTTTCTACAGCGAAAAAAGAAATTAAAATTGAAATTATAGAAAATAAAATTAAGAGCCATTATATTGCTTTTGAAGTTTATGTAAATCGAATGTTTACAAAAATAGTTAGTTGTTGTTGTTGAGCGCGCGAGTGTTGTGTTGTTGCTTTCATTATTTTTCTAGGGGCTCCGATTTTCGGGGTCGTAGTCATGCGGCTCTGCCGCGGTCGCTGCTGAAGCGAAGCATAAAAGAAATTTGCTGTTTGCCGCTGCGCCGACGTCATCAGGCAGACATACACACACATACACACGGACAGGCACTCGTTGAAATTGTTGTTGGATTTGTAAATTATGAAAGCAATTTATCAACTGGAAATCGAAAAACAACAAACAGCGAAGCTGCAGCAAGAACAACGCCAACTACAACGAGACGAGTGAAACATAAGAGAGAAAACAAAAAGCAAAAGCTAAAGCAGAACGCTCATTGATCGTGCAGGCAGGCAACAACAAAAGAAGAAGCGGCGGCAGCAGCAGCAGCAGCGCAGCTGGCAGCGCAGTTGAAATCATTTATGCGAATACAAAAAGTGAAGGAAAATTGAACAATTCGCAGCGCTCAGTCAACAGAGCTGGAGTGCTAGACGAAACCACTTCCCAACAACAACAGCAACGCCGACGACGACGTCGACGACTTGTTGCTTATTCACACACACTCTCGCACTCGCTCACGCTCACGCACACGCACACGCACACAAATAAACGCTGCTAAGCGCTTGCATATAAATACATAAATATATCTGCGCTGTATTGTTGTTTGTGTGTGTGTGAGTGTGTGCGCATGTTATGCGTGTGACCTTTGTCGGCGCTTCCCTTCAAGCATTTGTATGTGTAAGTACGATATAAAATTTATTCAAATGGCAAAAAAAAAAAAAAAAAACAACTAAGAAGGCAACAAAACTATAAGCAACGCGTTTAATTGCAAACTCATAAATGTGTGTACAAAGCATGTCATCAGCTACAATACAAAACAATTACAAAATACCACAGCTTGGCTAGACACACACACACACACACACATCATCCCTGACTGTCAAATGGCACTGTTAAGCGCGCTGTTAATAGCAAAGCAAAGTTTACACTCTCTTAAGTCTTTATTGAAATGCTGTTAAGTATTACTTAATCGTAGATTTTGTGTGTATTTTTAACTAGAGGCATTCCATGCGTGTACTTCTGATAAGATTAAATACATACAAGAAAACGCCCACAGTTTGGTGTTCGACAAATACACATGATATACTATAGTAGATGTAGCATATATATGTATATACATTCATTCAGAACAATATGAAATATGTTCGTATATATTATATACAAAATTTTCCGTTTTCTACATACATAATTCCGCATACGTCGGGTATAAAAATAAATGCAATAAATGAGAATTTATTTTCGTAGACTTTTGCTTTCCATTTCTAATAATAATATATATGATATGTATATGTATGTATGTATATTGATTGCCCATTGTACATATTTGTATGTGTATACAAATAATTGAAATTCCATTGGAGCAACAGTTGGTCTTCCGAATTCAACTGTAAACAGCAGTAACAGTGGCCTGCACAGTTTGGCATGCATTGCGTTTAGCCGCTGTTCCGCTGTGTGCGTGCGATAAAAGTGTTTGCAATTGTTCTTCTTCTTGTTGCATATTGTGTAAACAAAGATAAGCAACGTATTAAGTGGTGTATGTGTGTGTAGGGTATAGTGTCTGTGTGTATATATGGGTGGGCTTACGCTGCTGACTAAGCCAAGCGCTAAATAAATCCCAATGGAAACCAAAAGCAGCGGAACAAAACGAACGTGAGTGAGGGAGATGGGTAGAGACGGACAGAGAGAGTTGCTTAGCAAGCTGAGTGGGTGGAGGGAGAGAGAGAGCGAGAATGAGAGAGTGGAAAATACGCTTAACAATTCGCTTAACAATTTAATCAAAATTGAATGCAGCTTTGTGCGTTCAACTGATTTTATTTATTAAAACAGGGCACGTAAACACTAAAGACGAATGCAGTGGCAGGAAAAAAAAAAATAAAATAAAGAGAGTATAAAAACAATTAAAAATACAATTAAAAGCAAAAATATCAAGAAAGTACAAAGTGAATATACAAAAAAAAAAAAAAAAAAGAAAAATAAAAATAAAATAAAATAAAATAAATATATAAATAAAAAAAATTAAATTAAAATTAAAAAAAGTAATATATACTAAAATGTGATAAATAATTGAAAAAAACAAAAAAAAATTAATTGGATATAAAGCAATATTTAAATTATTTAAAAAATTAATATTAAAATGATTTGAAAAAAAAAAAAAAAAAATAATAATAATAATAAAATCAAAATTTAAATGAGCTGCAAAATAAATTGTTAAAAAAATGAAATTAAATTATTAAACGAAATCTCCTATACATATAAACAAATATTACATATATCAATATTAATTAATTTTCGACCTTGCTTTGCTTTTATTGTGCATCTTATAGAGTGTGCACTGTAATTGGTATTTATTGTGCAATTAGAGACGTGACATAAACATATATGAATACTAACCCTCAGCAAGCTTAATCATCCAACACACACACACACACACTTAGTTGGGCTGCAATTATTCGCGTATTTGCTTTTGATTTAGACAGTTTGAGAGCCACTTTGTCAGTTTGTCATTTTGCCATTTGTTAGCCGTTTCGTTTTGGCCGTTCGCCGTTCGCTAATCAAACTCAAATTTGCAGCAATATGGAGACAGAAATCCAGCTGGAGCTGCAGTCCCTTGATAAAAAGGATCAGCACGAGGAACAAATCGAGCAGCGGCAACCGCTGCTCTCAACAACAACAACAACAACAACAGCAGCAACCACAAATAACAACAATAATAGCAATAGCAATGACAACAATGGAACACAGGTCACGCTCAGCTCTGGCTCGGGTAATTCCATCGATGCGGCCCCATCGAGCCAAGCGCTGCCCGCCATCCCACCAGCCACGCCCCCAGCGAGCACATCCCGCCAGCTGTTCAGGGAAGCCGCCGCTCGGCACGGCGGAACCGAATCGTTGGCCCTAATGCAACAGGAACAGAACTACATAGCTGCCACACAGCTGCCGAAGGTTCATAGCGATGCCTCCATGCCGGATGCGACTGTCTCGAGGAATCCGTCGACGACGGGCCGGCACGAGAAGAAGATCGGCCACCGGCGGGTGGCCGAGGGCGGCGAGGTGACCTACAAGAAAATCCAATCGAAGCAGATCATGGGCTCCATCCAGCTGGGCATACAGCACACCGTGGGCAGCCTGGCGAACAAGCCGAAGCGAGATTTGCTGATGAACGATTTCTGGGAGATGGAGACGATCGCCTTTCCGCCCGACGGCTCATCCCTGACGCCCGCTCATCACTACAGCGACTTTCGCTTCAAGGTCTATGCTCCGATTGCTTTTCGTTACTTTCGCGATCTGTTCAACATCGAGCCGGATGACTTTCTAATGTCGATGTGTGCGTCGCCGATGCGCGAGCTGTCCAATCCGGGCGCCTCGGGCTCCATATTCTATCTGACCGACGATGATGAGTTCATCATCAAGACGGTGCAGAAGAAGGAGTGTGAATTCCTGCAGAAGCTTTTGCCCGGCTACTACATGAATCTCTCCCAGAATCCGCGCACGCTGCTGCCCAAGTTCTTCGGCCTGTACTGCTTCCACTACAACTCAAAGAACGTTCGATTGGTGGCCATGAACAATCTGCTGCCGTCGGACATTAAGATGCACGAGAAGTACGATCTGAAGGGCTCGACATTCAGGCGAAAGGCCTCCAAGGCGGAGCGGCAGAAGGCGAGTCCGACGTACAAGGATCTGGACTTTGCCGAGCACCATCCGAATGGCATTTTCCTGGAGACCGACACCTATACGGCGCTGATGAACACGATCAAGAGGGATTGCATGGTCCTGGAGAGCTTCCAAATCATGGACTACTCGCTCCTGGTGGGCATACACAATCTGGATCTGGCGGCCAAGGAGAAGAAGGAGGAGCGCATACGTAATGCAAGGGCCAAGCTGCAGCGCAAGGAATGCCCCGACGACGATGCACCCGAAGCGGATCAGGTGAACCAGCTGCAGCCCGTCTCCAGCTCGGCCTCCATACCGGGCACCTCGGCGGCGGGACTGAATCGGACGCGCAGCATGAATCGCCAGCGATTGGTGGCCCATTCCACGGCCATGGAGTCGATCACGGCCGATTTGGATGCGACGCTCGAGGAGGGCGTCGACGAGCCAAAGGGCGGCATTCCAGCGCGCTCCGAGAACGATGAGCGATTAATGCTCTACATCGGCATCATCGACATCCTGCAGTCGTATCGGCTGGAGAAGAAGCTGGAGCACACATTCAAGAGCATCCTCTACAACGGCGACACGGTCTCCGTGTGCCGGCCCTCGTTCTACGCGAAGCGCTTCCAGGACGCCATGGGCAAGCAGGTGTTCAAGAAGACGCCCACATTTCCGCTCAAACATTCCCCCTCGAAACGCAAGACGTCGGCCACGCAGCCGCTGCGCAGCCCGCTCAATCGCACGAGCGTCGCGAACACGCCCAGCAATAGCGGCAGCAGCAGCCGGCCCGTCGCCCTGGCTCTGCTCTCCGGCATGTCGACGCCGCCACCTGCCTTCGATGACATCTCCGAGGAGGACATCACGGCCGGAGCGTCAACGACGACGCTGCAGCAGCGGACGTCGAATGCGAATGCGAGTGCGAGTGCGCCACGCCTACAGTCGCCCTACTCCTACGCCAGCTCGATGCGCAGCAGCGACTACAGCGACGACGATGAGATTGTGGAGGCGAATACCAATGCTGTGGATGCTGTGGACCAGCATGTGCGCAGCAATGGGCGTGGCAAGGAGCTGCGGCAGCCGCTGGCCCGGGGCAACGGCTTGGCCAACAATAATCTGCTAAGTGAACGCACTTTACACCTGACCAAAACGCTGGTCCAGGTAACCGCCGTCGGCTATGTGGAGGAGCAGCCGCCAGGCCCGACCACGCCCACTCAGCTGGAGGCGAATGGCAAGCCGGTGTCAGCAGTGGCAAAGACGGCCACCTACACGTCCACATTGATGCTGAAAACGGCGGCGGATCTGTAGCCCGACTATATACTATATACTCCTATATATATATATATGTATATGTATATGTATATGTATATGTATATGTATATGTATATGCGTATACTTTATGCCTATGTATTGTCTACCTGTAACCCGCAAAGATTGGTGCTGGCTTTCACTACACTCTCTCACACACACACACACACATATGTTTATGTATGTATGTTATAAACCCCCCTGTCCCCTCCACCCTCCCCTCTCACCTGTCCCAACTGCTGTGCTCGCTGTGCCCGTGTGGCAAGGCGTGGCGCTCGTTTATCTTGATTAAACAAATACCAAAAACGAATATGCATTCGATATTAAAATTTATGTGGCGCGCGTTTGTTAATTGACTGTGCCACACACAAACTCACACAAACTCACACCCGCACACACACACACCCGCACACACACACACACGGCAAATCCCCAATTTTCCTTTACAGTTGATAATTATTTTCTTCTTCCTTAGCTTTTATTTGTATCTGTGTGAGTGTGCGAGTATTTTTTCCCTATTTTGTTTCGATATTATTTGCGTTTGTATTATGGACAGTTGACGAAGAGAAAAAGAGGAAGAAGAAGCAAAATACGATGCTGGAGAGAAGAGGAAATACTTAAAGGAAAATATTTGACATTGTTTAACTCTGTATTTTTGTATTATAGAAAAAATGCGTTTATCATGTATTCTAGGATGCTTTAATGTATATATACATAAATGTAAAACAAATTTCATAAATAAATAACAAAAACAAATAGATGGCTCGAGTGTTTATATTCTCAAAAGGAAAAAAAGGTTTAAGAAATTGAAATTTACGTTTGAAATATTTTTATCTAATTTTTGAAATAATTATATAATGAAGATTATCAATCATATCAAGAAGAATTTTTTATTATATTTATATATTTTTTCTGGTCTTCAGATTTTTATTCTAAATAGCTTAGAAATATCTGATAATTTTTTCCAAATATTCCTTATATTTTATTTCTTCCTTAAGTTCCCATATAGCTAGCTATATGATATCTATTTATATTTAATGACATCTGTCTAGACTATAGACTATAGACGCATTAATTACCTTGGCCGATATTAATTTTAGCAGCTGTTCGCCTGGCTCCCGTCTCATGCCCTATAAAACTCTGATATTATGTGCGTAATCCCTGTGCCGTAGCCGGACAATAACACGTAATATCCTTTACGTTCATTATTTACATTTTCACGTGCGAAAAAATTCTTGGTTTTTGTTTATTTCTTTGTGAATGCTGAAGTTGGCTAAATGGGGCATGATGAAAGTAAAGGAAGAACTTGGAGTCTGTTGAGAATTGGGAGCATATAATATAGACTTTATAATATTTATAATAAACAATTTCCACATATGGATAGAGGAAGGGTCTGATGAATGGACGACAGAAATTAATATCGATACAAGTGATAAACATATATACATAATTGAACTTATCGATTATTTATGCATGTCCTTCAAATCTTCGATAACTTTAAGCTTAATTGATATAGAATTTTTGTTAAATGTATTTGAAGAGTTTGTTTATATAGATGCATCTCAACTCCTTTCGATATGCTCCCAGGGTATCTCCTATTCGTGCACTCCCCATCTTATGGGCACTCTTGTTCTTGCTGGCTTTGTGTGCAGGAAAGTGCTTAAAGAGCGCTGACAAATATTAATCGCCCGATATACATATATATCGTTGCTGCATGCTCATTTGTATTCTCCTTCTCTCTCTGCCTCACAATCTCTCACTCTCGCCCTCTGCCGCTCCATCTCTCGCTCTCTTTCGCTGTTCGCATAAATCACTTAATGATTTTCCATATTGGCATTAAGTACCGTTAATTTTTATCGCCTTGCTGCAAGCTCCATTGGCAATTGCGCAATATTTATTGCGCAAGCCTTCGTACGGCGCATTTCAACGCACTCCGGCACGCCCCTTGCTGTGCCACGCCCCTCACTCGAATGCGCAGCTTAAGTTGTAAAGCTCTCCATTAATTAGTCGCCGGCAACATTTATTTTGCTCTTTTCATTTCAATGAAAATCAAAATAAATTTGTTTTTTTTTTTTTTTTAATTTTTAATAAATTTTAATCAGTTTAATAAAAATTGTTTAAGCAATTAATGTAAGAGCTGCGTTAAATGTTGAACAAATAACAACATATCACTAATAATATTTGTGATTTAATGGCATTTAATGAATTGAATAAATATGCAAATAAATAGCTCTAAATGAGAGGTAGTGAATACACTGAAAGAAATTGGGGTAATGAAGAAAAAATAAATGTTGGATAGTTGAATGAACTAACATTTGATTAATGGTAGCATAATTATAAATCATACATATAAAAGTAAACAAATATTTTTGATATACACTGCAAAAAATAATGGAGTGCTTTGTGTTTTCTCAGCTCTATATTTATATAATATTTATATATTATAAAATAAATCAATTTTGGAGTAAAATAAGATTTTAATAAACTTTACAATTATAATTCATATTTTTATAGACTATCAAATACCCTATAAATAATTAAAGTCTTAAATATTGCTGCGAATTGAATAGCTTAAATTGCAAATAAGCTGTAACTTATATTCAAAGCAGCTTCAATACCCTGTAAACTGTAAGTCTGTAAGCTATAAGCATCACTGAATACCCTGTAAAGTACATTTAACTCTACCGCTCCAGGTGAGAATACCCAGTTAACTAAGCTCATAGCTCCGGGTACTGCAAATATTCTGTAATATTCGCAATTGTTGACTATTTTTTGCAGAAAAACTTGATCAGAAAAACACATGCATATAAAAATTATAAGTTTTTGCTACACTTCCCATAAAAAAACTATGCAGGCAAATAAAAACTTCTTTACAGTATTTCATATATCAATTGACAGCATTTATTATATTATTTTTCACGCTCTCCGTACTTTTTTATCAAATATTTATTCTGACATATTTTAATTGTTTTGATTCTTTTTTTTTTCGAGTGTACTTTTTATTTGCCTGTGATTTTTTTCGCATGCACAATATGCAGAAGGCAAAAGTAATTTCGAAACGTTTTATTATGATTTTAGCTGAAATATACTCGGTAAATATTTACGCAAAATGAAACAAAATCGCCAAAAATAAACCAAAATATTGCCGAAAATGCATTTTTCATTTGTTACATTGTAATTATGCCAAAAGCAGAAAGCAGACCAACAAATACAAATGCGAATAAAAAATAACTGAAAACCAGTTAACAGGAAGAGCTAGCATAAATATCCAAAATGTAAATATATGTATATATATACATCTGTTATATACATAGATATATATAGATGCTGTCAACCCCAACAATTTTGGTGTGGCATAATTACTTTAATTCATTTGCATAATATAGCGTAAATGGTTTTTGGCCAACATTTGCATTTGCAACTTTTGGTAACAGAAACAGAGCCAGAAACAGCTGCGCAGCCCAGCCCAGCCAGAGCAGAGCGAAAGCCTGGATAATAGAGGAGCGTGCAGGACTGTCGCCTGCTGCTGCCGAGCCTTTTGGGCCATAAAATCTGCATAAATACCTGGCCACAATTTGGCATCACATCAATTACTTTGAAATTATAACACAATTATATATGTACCACATTTACTGTGGGCTAGCTACAGTCAGAGATGACCACAGAGAGAGAGAGAGAGAGAGAGAGGGGGAGATAGGCATTTGTGTTACTTTGACCTAAGCATGTTTGTGCCATATGTCAAATGTCATTTTGATAACAGCAACTTTTGCATTAGAGATTGCTACTAAAAGCTAGATTTCTACTCCTCTCTCTCTCACTCTCACTCTGTCTCACTCTTCCTTGTTGTTTGCCTGCCTTTTAAGCTGTACATCTAAAAGCCGACTTTCTACTTCTCTCTCTCTCTCTCTCTCTTTCTCATTCTGTATCCGTCATAAGACGTGCACCTAAAAGCTCAATTTCTACTCCTGTCTCTCTCACTCACTCTTTCGTTCTCTGTCTGCCTGCTAAGCAAATAACATTTGGTTTGGTTTGATAGAGATTTTGACAGTTGAGGCGAAGTACATCGAGCATTTACGTCAAATAGAAAACTTGACTTGATCAGGCATTAAATTGGATGTAAATTCTTCCTATATGATAAGGTTGTTTTATGTTGATAAGACTTTCTCTATAAAAACTCTCCAAAAACTATTCACAATTCTTAATATTATATTCGCTCACTAATTGGATTACTTAAAAGAGTTTCATAGAATACCTTGTGCATTTTTTATACTGTTGAATGAACTGATATATGATATATGAAGGACATATATAATAGAATGATATATAAATGAATATACGATAGATGACACATAATAAATGTTAAATAATACACGATAGATGATATACAATAGATGATAAACGATAGATCAGACCTTATATATGATATACAATAGATGATACGCGATCTATGGTATTCGTGAGATAAGACCTTATAGATGATATATGATATGATGCGGAGCTGTCTCATCTAGTCTACTGATTAGGTATATTGCTAAGGCATATACACCTGATATACCCCATAGCAACTGATACTGATTAGAAAAGTATATATACCTAATATACCTGAACTGCCACTGTTGAATCTAATCAACACTTCTCACATGTTATTCTCCTATTTATAGAAGAAAATCAATATTTGTTTAGCTATTTTCGCTTCATTTTCAGCTCAGTTCCCCCTAAATATTGTTTATATCTCTGTTACCTGTTCTTAAATTGTTTCAACTGACAGTTCAGTTCAAAGTTCAGC